TCCTGTGGCATCCTCTGACTTTGCATTATTGGCCACCTTGTAGATAAAGAATGAACTTGATAAGAATTAGAAAACCAAATCCTTTACTAGTTCTCAACAGCTTCATCTTAAATTATCAAGAACACCATTAAAAATGTCCACCTTGGTCCAGCATATAGGGCAAGTGATGATGTAATGCTATTACAATGGTAAAGCCACAAGGAAGTTCCCAAATTCACACCCTGAGGTCTCCTCAGATGCACATGCCCATATGTATATGCCCATATTTCTGGCAGGTTTAGTCTGGGGGTAGATAGAAGCAAGAAGACCCTGTGTAAAAACCTGTCTCATACTCTCTATCTTATTCTCTTTCCATCTCTCTCTCTCTCTCTGAAGAAGTTTATGAATAAGCTGCCAAAATAAATGCCCCAGTGTTTTACCCTCTGTTCAAGAAGTTGTCCTCACTGATTTGTTTGGCTTCTGTCCTCTCCACAACACAAGCCCTGAGCTGCAGAAGAAAAACATATTCACATGCCAGTCATGGTCAACCGTGCACAGAAGGAAAGAAAGAAAAGGATCTTACCCAGTTGTCCTGAGCCTTTTTCTTGTAAACGGCCTTCTGAAAAAGAAAACACACCAAACACCATATGTTTAGGCCTTCTACGGCCCATTATAAAAGTCAGTAGCTGGTGCTGGAGGATTCTGCAATTATCGGCAGAATGCAATTTACCTGCTTTTGGTAGGAGGTCTCTTTTCTCTGCATTTCATCTTGCATCTCTGCAATTCTTTCCCTGTGGTTTAGAATTGCTTTCATCAGACACAAAGCACAATATTGAGTGTAGTTTTCAAATAATCCTCCCATATTCACATTATCCTCAGAACTGTATTACATAATTTATCCCAGATGGAAAGCAGATTTCACACGAATAAGAGTACAGTAGGATCAAAGCTATTGCTGCATAGTTTCCTTATCCATTATGGAATCCTACAGAGTCCTCAGTTGACATAATTTTCTTCCCCATTTCAATATTTCTCTAATTTCTCCTCCATTGACTATTTTTTATCATAAAGTTCTACATTCCTTGTACTTACATTTTTACCATATGTCACAGGACATAACGTGGTTTTATAAAATAATTTTTGTGGATGTGACTTACATTACGTCAAATTGTTTTCTTGAGATTTATGACAATTTTCCCCATGCCCACTAGAAATGTAGAGTACTAAAAATTATTTGGTCATTTGTACTTTGTTTACTCTTCTGTTATTCCCCTCCACCACACACACACACACACACACATACACACACATATATATGTGTGTGTATGTGTGTGTGTGTGTGTGTGTGGTGGAGGGGAATAACAGAAGAGTAAACAAAGTACAAATGACCAAATAATTTTTAGTACTCTACATTTCTAGTGGGCATGGGGAAAATTGTCATAAATCTCAAGAAAACAATTTGACGTAATGTAAGTCACATCCACAAAAATTATTTTATAAAACCACGTTATGTCCTGTGACATATGGTAAAAATGTAAGTACAAGGAATGTAGAACTTTATGATAAAAAATAGTCAATGGAGGAGAAATTAGAGAAATATTGAAATGGGGAAGAAAATTATGTCAACTGAGGACTCTGTAGGATTCCATAATGGATAAGGAAACTATGCAGCAATAGCTTTGATCCTACTGTACTCTTATTCGTGTGAAATCTGCTTTCCATCTGGGATAAATTATGTAATACAGTTCTGAGGATAATGTGAATATGGGAGGATTATTTGAAAACTACACTCAATATTGTGCTTTGTGTCTGATGAAAGCAATTCTAAACCACAGGGAAAGAATTGCAGAGATGCAAGATGAAATGCAGAGAAAAGAGACCTCCTACCAAAAGCAGGTAAATTGCATTCTGCCGATAATTGCAGAATCCTCCAGCACCAGCTACTGACTTTTATAATGGGCCGTAGAAGGCCTAAACATATGGTGTTTGGTGTGTTTTCTTTTTCAGAAGGCCGTTTACAAGAAAAAGGCTCAGGACAACTGGGTAAGATCCTTTTCTTTCTTTCCTTCTGTGCACGGTTGACCATGACTGGCATGTGAATATGTTTTTCTTCTGCAGCTCAGGGCTTGTGTTGTGGAGAGGACAGAAGCCAAACAAATCAGTGAGGACAACTTCTTGAACAGAGGGTAAAACACTGGGGCATTTATTTTGGCAGCTTATTCATAAACTTCTTCAGAGAGAGAGAGAGAGATGGAAAGAGAATAAGATAGAGAGTATGAGACAGGTTTTTACACAGGGTCTTCTTGCTTCTATCTACCCCCAGACTAAACCTGCCAGAAATATGGGCATATACATATGGGCATGTGCATCTGAGGAGACCTCAGGGTGTGAATTTGGGAACTTCCTTGTGGCTTTACCATTGTAATAGCATTACATCATCACTTGCCCTATATGCTGGACCAAGGTGGACATTTTTAATGGTGTTCTTGATAATTTAAGATGAAGCTGTTGAGAACTAGTAAAGGATTTGGTTTTCTAATTCTTATCAAGTTCATTCTTTATCTACAAGGTGGCCAATAATGCAAAGTCAGAGGATGCCACAGGA